CTCAGAGCTTGCAGTCCACATTCCCTACCCCTCTTTAGGAGTCCCTTCAAACATTACTTTTTGTGTGTGTGAAGCCTGCTTTGACACCCAAGGCTGGGTTAAGTGCCCCTCTTGCGAGTTCCTTTAACACTTACCACACTGTATGACACTTGATTCTTGTCTTTTCCACTAGACTGCTAATTTCTTAAGGACAGAGAGTCATTCTTAGTCATCACTGCAGCCTCAGCAGCACCTAATACAATATATTGGTATACAATAGACATTGTTAGATAAATATTTCTGCTGAAACAATTTCATGAAAGAAACAGTACTATTGGGTTGTCAGAAAAGTCATGACACATGTTTGCAACAGATGGCGCCAGTTCATTTTTGGAAGTACTAGAGTCAATCACATCTATGTTATTGCTATGTCATTTGACAGCAGACAGTTCTAGCTTCATTTTTTTAAAAATTGAGCAATTTGGTTGAGTTTTGGAGATTTTACAACAAGTTGCAGATGGAAGACCAAACTGTGCATTTTCACCATATTTTACTGTTTTACTTCCGTAAAGGGAAGAACGCGCTTCAAGCCTGTGAAAAGTTGCGTAATGTTTATGGTGACAATGCTCTACAAGAATGTCAGTGCCAACAATGATTCACGAAATTCGGTGCTGGTGATTTTGATCTCAATGATGCTCCTCAGTCAGGGAGGCCCACCGAGGTTGATGACTACAAAATAAAGGCATTGATCGAGTCAAACCTATGTTACACGACACAGAAGATTGCAGGAACATTGAACATCCATCATTCAAGCGGTCATGACCACCTGAAGAAGGTGGGATACATAAGCAAGCTCGATATTTGGGTTCTGAATGAACTCAAAGAAGTTCATTTGACAGCACGTAAAACATCTGCAATATGCTCATTAAACGTGAGGAAAACGATCCTTTTTTGAAGCGACTGATAACTGGTGATGACAAGTGGATTGTGTACAACAATGTGGTGCACAAATGGTCTTGGTCCCAATGTGATGATTCCCCTCAAACGACATTGAAAGCAGACATTCATCAGAGGAAGGTTATGCTTTCAGTGTAGTGGGATTTTAAAGGTGTTGTGTTTTTCGAGCTCCTACCAAGGAACCAAACAATCAATTCGAATGTGTACTGTCAGCAATTGGACAGTTTGAATGAATCCATCATCCAGAAACGTCCAGAGCTTGTTCCTTGTAAAGGAGTTGTGTTCCATCGCGACAACGCGAGACCACACACAAGTTTGATCACCCGTCAAAAATTATTGGAGCTTGGATGGGATGTGTTGCCNTCCATCGCGACAACGCGAGACCACACACAAGTTTGATCACCCGTCAAAAATTATTGGAGCTTGGATGGGATGTGTTGCCCCACCCACCATACTTGCCTGAACTTGCGCCGTCAGACTTCCACTTGTTTCGCTCTCTTCAAAACTTCTTGCATGGTATAACGTTCAATTCAGATGAGGCTGTAAATCAGCACCTTGTTCAGTTTTTCGCCGTTAAAGACAGGTCCTTCTATGAATGAGAAATTATGAAGTTCATTGAAAGATGGCAAAAGGTTATCAAACAAAACAGGCAATATATCATTGATGGATCTTTGTTATTTATATAAATAAATGACCTTTGAAAAACATAGACAAAATACATCATGACTTTTCCAACAACCCTCTAAATAAAAATTTCTTGCCTAATTAGTTTTTCCCCTTTTCTCTCCTACTACACACTTCCTTTAATGGATTTTTAAAAAGTAAGATTCTGGATGATGGGATTATGGGTGTATTATACTACTCTTTATGTTTCTATGTATTAAGTAAAATTCTACATCTGATAACCTGTTTTTATCCCATTGTGGTAGGGCAAAATAATACCTTCATGGAATAACATTAGATGTCTTTTGAGCATAATATTTAGGAAAAGGCTCCTGTTGGGCTATGCTGTACAGTGATGGCAGGAATCCATGTGATGGGGTGTAGGGGGAACTACTAGTGGACCAGGGTTGCAACTTTTAATTCCCAAGTTACAGTGGGAAAGGACTGATAACACTGTTTCTTTTTGGAGGAGGAACTTGAAGGGCGGCAAACAGGTTCAGTGACTCAGCTGAGCCTACACATTGGTCTCCTTGTTTCTAGACCTATACTCTTGCCACTATATCATAGAAACAAAAACATCTTCTTTGCCCTAGCAAGACTTAGCTATACAAATGTAGGGAAACATAGGGAGCCTTTTGAGTGTACACATCTGCTTAGCATGTAAAGGATGTAAGAATTCTAAAATGATTGTGAATCTTCCATGCCTAGAATTTGATGAAAGAACACTAGCTCCGAATTCTCTTTAATTTCATTTAATCATTAGCACTTAAGAAGGGAGCAACATTTGCATGATATTTGTGTCTGGCCATCTGCTTCATTCAGAACCTTGGAATTAGACAACTTATTTGTTTGGAAGGTCTATTTGGGGTTGGGGTTGGGGGTGGGCTGAGTACCTAGCATCTGGGAAAAGA